CCAGATGAGAGAGGGGCTGTTGTGATGCAGTTCAGTAACGTGCTAATGACAGAGGTAGCGGCAAAAACAACTACAACCTTCAGCTGTGCTTCAGACTCAGGGCTGTAATCTCCTTATGCAATACACTTGACAAAGCTCTCTCTTGTGGAATATGATCCTGCTTTTTCCATCACAGTATATACCTCCTCCCTCACCAGACTGTGGGTTACTGGGCTTTATTTATTTATTATTTTCACTCTTATAACATTTAACCAAATGAACTCGTTATTTTTCTGCAGATAAAACAAACAGGAGGAAGCTCTGCTTGCAGGGATGGGTATGTCCGTCTGGGGGGAAGAGCAGCACCTCACCTGCTGCAGTGTTTTGAGACGTAAAGCTGCCTAATTATTTATTATCCCTGTGTTGTTTTGTTAACCAAATATTTGTCTTTTCACCTCACACACATCTAATGCCAATATACAAATTGCACAAGGGGATTATGCCAGCATGAGTCAATCTTGGGTGTGTTTATCCTCAGAGAGACATAAGCCTCTGTTTCTAGAGGCGGGTGTTTCTTATCCTTGTTAGACCTATGAATATCTTTTGCCAATGAAATTTGTCACTTTTCAGTGTTGGCATGTCTGCTGCTAGAACAAATCCTGCAGGCTGGCAGGTTTCCAAGTGGGGTGGGGGCTAAGTCCTCTGTGACTATCATTATTTAGTATTTACATTACAGCAGAGCTTAGAGGCTCCTAGCTGAGATCCAGGCGTTGCCATGCGAGCAGAGAGTAAAAGACCCTTCCTGCCCCAAACAGTTTATAATCTAAACAGAAGAGACTGGTGATAAATAGCAGAGTAAAGCCAACATTATTGCAACACAGATAATGCTAAAGCAAGCCTGCAAAACCTGTGAGATTTTTCTAAAAATAAATGTTAAAGTTTTTATTTATTTTATAAACTATTAAAATTTGTATATTCAAGCTTTCTTAAAGCTAGGACATTTTTGGTTGCTGTAAGAGCTGCAATTCTTGCTTACTCACCTGACTCCAGAAGGTGAGGTCTTCTCAGATGAACACATCGCTCCGATGATCCTCCTTTCAGTCCCATTTCACAGTTCCTTTCCGTTCACCTGTCTACAGAAAAAACTGAGTGTAGCTACACAGATGGTTTCTTGTGTCCTCCATTTGTGGAGCAAGAGAAAATGATTTTTAAGACTAACAGTAGCATTTAATTTTCACATCTCTTCTTCCCTTATTCTCAGCACACAGCTCAGTTTGCTGCACCTACCCATGTCTCGTTGGTACCTACTACTGCCAAACTACTTGTGGATTTGCTGTTCCATCCCTTGCTTTTGACCTGGATTCTCTGATGACAAGTGATACAAAAGAAGGAAAAAATAATCAGAGTGCAAGGAGTGGGTGTTTTGCCTGCCCAAGGTGGCCTCTTCTGGAAGGTGTGCATGAGGCTCACCAAACGCCCAGCTGAGCAGAAGGTCTGTGGAAGAAGTGGACCGATGTTAAATATTTTCTTAAAGGTGCAGGCCAAATCTTAAACCAGTATGAGCTGGTTTGGTTCAGTTGTAGGCAATGAAGGTATTTAAACTGGGGAAAATGATGAGGATTTGTCTCATGACCACCATCTCACCATCTCCACTTTCTCTGTATATCCTCAAGAGAATATCTAGCAGCATGTCTAAAAATAGGGCGTAAGTTTCTCAACTTCCCAGCAGACAAGCAGGCCAGAACTACAGTGTGTTATTGTGCTGCGCTGCAATGAGAAGGGAACGCTCTTACTGTCTGTGTAGGAGGAAGCCTTTGAGGGGAAAATCATGGATAATAAAAGCCTCTTTTATCTGAAACACCTAACATTTCAGCTCATCAAATCCCAACACTGCATTTTCTTAAAACAGGTTTCTATTATGTGTTAAACACATCGAGTAATTCAGTCTCATCATCTAAATTCAGTGTTGTGATAGCTGAATGAAATTGGGGCACGCTAACTAAAAAGGTAATAGAAGCTTTTCACAAAGGCAGCATGGGAAATGCAGCAGTGGCTTGCTTTTTTAGGAAAAAAAAAAAAAAAAGAAAAAAGAAAAAGGTCTTTGCTTTTTTCCAGTGAGCTTATGTTACCAAGCTGAAGACCCTTGCTATGGTCTATAGGGCAGGACTTCCTAGAGGCAATTTGCAGGATTAGGACTTTATTGTGGTAATTAGCAAAGGATCAACATGGTAGAATTTTAAATTGTCTGTACAAGATGCAAGATGCTGGGAAATACTGCTCACCAGGCACAAATGCTACTGAAGCTGGAATCACTTTTTCCCCCCATTCTGAGCTGCATTCTCCAATGGACACTGTCAGCACAGACCTCAGATGAAACACAGCATGCTTAAGGAATTAAGTAAAGACCCTAACATAGATGTGTGTGACAGCTGAATAGAATCTGTGTCCCATGATAAGAACAGCGTATGGGGATGTTCTGTCACGGCTTGTTTTGCGGCTCTGGAAAAAGGGATACACTCCCTGTGAGATCCTGCTGGCCTCATCCATGAAATCACAGAAATTACATTCCCTCCCCACCCCTGTGTCCACAAATGTCTGCTCCTGGTATCTCAGCATCACATCTCTCCAGTGGTCACCCTGGATGATGCAGGCTGCAACTCTGCGGGACACCCAAGGTTGCAGCCCTATGCCAACACAGCTCTGGGGTCACCTCGGCACAAGATAGTCGTTCCCCGGTGGTTGGGAGCGTGCAGCTCTGCCTCCTCCTCCAGCCCTGCTTCTGGAGTGAGAGCAGCTGGAAGGAGACAGCTCACTTGCGTGTGATCTGCTTCCACAGAGCACTGGGAGATCACCCATTTCTCCTGCGAACATGACAGCCTCACGCAGCTGCGAGCGATGCTGAGCGGGGACACGAATGCGCGGCGCGTAGGGAGTGTTTAGTCAGCACATTCTTCCCTGCAGGCCCGGAGGGCAGTCTTGTACGCTGGGACTGGAATGCTGCCCACTTATGGTAGCCGGTTAATGAGGCCGGCACTCCCAACGCGGCACACAAACACTTGCAGAGAATGCCAAGGATCTTGTGATGCACGGCCCACAATCTTCCTAGTTTGCTTTCTTATGCAATACACTCGGCTCCTTGACTATTAGCAAATGGATGTTCTCGGGTGGGTATACAGAGGACAGCCAGAAGAATAATATCCCTGTTAATAACATCCCCCATTTCCAGCGTCACCTGTATTTGAAGCGTCAGACTGTCAGAGCTTTACAAACTAAAATTTCCGATGCTAAACTTCCGGTGCTCCTTAGAGAATAGGGATAAAGGCTTTTTCACAAGGTCAGAAATACAGAGGTAATAAGCAAAGTAAGTTACTTTCCCAAAACCACAGGACTGATCAGATGGCAAACTAATTAAATCCTAATCCAGCAAAGTCCTTAGTCTGCATGAAATTTGCAGCATGTGAATAATGACAATGAAATCAAATACTTAACCTGACCCACATTCTTAAGAAAATTACTAAACAGCATATGCCACACTACTTTATGCAAATGCACACAAACTAATGTGGATACCAGTCCATCTAACCATGAGAAAAACAGTTCAGTGTCAGCTGATTTGCCCTGCTCTGCTGCCTCATGTCCCATATTCATACTGTTTCCCCCTTTTATTTTGCATAAAGCTCTCTTCTGTATTGCCACATGCGGCTCAGATGTCATTTTAGCTTTTAAAACCTGCTGTCAATCTAATCCAAATTAGGGAGGCCACCTCCTTCTGTCAGCAAGATGCAACCAAATTGTCTTTCTGGATCCCTCATGTCAGTCCTAATTCTTCTAATAACTGGGAGATGTGCAGTTCCTGCAGTGACGTCTGGGGTCTGTGTGAGTCCCTCAGAGCCAGCACATCCCACCAAACACACCCACAGCACAGTTACCTGTGCCCTTTTTCTAGAATTTCTGTTGTGAAAGCCGAAACCACAGTGGTTCCACCAGGCTGTACTAAAGTTCACTCCTCCTCGTGATATGAATGATCCCACACAGCTATTGCACTCAAGTGTTTATATTCCCTAAAAGATGTTTATAATAATGCCCACTTCTTGTACTAGACCTGCACTTAGATTCTTTACTAAGTAAATGTTTATGTCAAATAAAACATGTACCTGATCAATTTCTAGAACGTTTGAGAAAGGCTATTTTAGGAAAACTCTCCATGGCCTTAGTAATGACTTGTTTATAACTAGCAGTGGGTTTGGGCCGACGCAATGGCACAGCCGCCACCAGTGCCAGTGACCTCCCTAACTGCTCCCACCACAGCACCACGGCTGGGCAGACCACCCCGTCCAGGAACACGGAATGGGCTGCAGTGGGATGGCACTGAAAACACGCAACGCCATCCTGATGGTATTTTTAACCTCCGGGCCTTCAGGTTCTCGTGGCATTTAATGTCCGCTGAAACACGGACAGGCTCATCTCACGGTGTTGTGCACCGCTCTCCTCCCAGCACCCTGAGGCGTGAGGGGCTTGGTTGGACCCCTTGCCCACAGCAGCACCCACCAGCCGGCCAGACCCAGCTCTGCCCCCACACTTTTGCCTTCAGTGGGGTTCCTCTTGGGCGAGCTACATGTCCCGACATACCTGCCGGAGGGCTGAGGTGGGCAGAGGGTGGTAAAAGGCTGAGGTGGGGCGAGGGAGGTGCTGAGGCAGGCTCCTGGAGGCTGAGGTGGGCAATGAGGAGGGCAAAGGGTGGTGCTGAGGGGAGAGGATGCAGTGGGTGCTGAGGTGGACGGATGGAGAGGCTGAGGTGGGCGCTGAGGGGCTGAAGGGGGCTGAGGCGGGCGGAGGGCGAGGCTGAGGCGGCGGGGCGGAGGAGCCGCCCCCTTGCGCGGGCCGGGCGCGCCCGCGGTGCCTCGCCGCCGTGCATGTTAATGCGCGGTAATTGCCCGGGGAGGGGAGGAGAGGTTGGGCGGGGCGAACCGGCGGCTGCCCGCCCTCCCTCCCTGCTGCTCCCCCCGCCGCCGCCGCCTCTCCTCCCCGGCCTCCCTGATGCCGAGGAATGGATAGAGCGGCTGCCCTGCGAGCCGCCGGCATGCTGGAGAGGAAGGAGCGGAGCGGCGGCGAGGCGGCGGCCGGCGGCGGTGCGGGGCCCCGGACGGGCGCGGCGACGCGGGGCTTGCCGGCGGTGCGGAGCACGCTGCAGCAGTGCGGGCTGCTGCAGGACCTCATCGACATCTCGCTCTCCAACCTGCGCGGGCTCCGCACGAAGTGCGCCGCGTCCAACGACCTCACCCAGCAGGAGATCCGCACCCTGGAGGTACGGGGCTCGGCGGCCGCGGCGGGGCCGGAGGGGAGCCCCGCGCCCTTTTCCTCACAGTCGGGGGCCGAGGCCTGTCCCTCACGGGGGCCGCCGGGGCCTGCCCCCTCCCCCGGCGCCCTTTCCCCTCAGCACCGGGTGCCCGGGCCGTGGTGTGGAGGGACCCGCGGGTGGAGGGGATGCGCGGGTGTACGCGGAAGGGAAGGAGGGAAGCCCCCGCGCCCGCCCCGGCCCGGCTGCAGCCCTGTCAGCAGGGGGTCGGTCCCCTCCCCAGCCGCGCCGGCCGTGGCAGGGCTCCCCACCCGGCCCTCCGCCGTCCGGCCGAGCGCGGTGCTGCGGGAGCCGTGAGGGCGCGCCCGGGGAGCGGGCGGGGAGGACAGGTGCGGGGGAGCCGCGGGGCAGGGCCCTGGATGCCGCGGGGCGGGCGTGGGGCGCCGCGGTCTGTCAGGCGGGGAGCGGGAGCCGCGGGTCGGCCCGGCCCCGCCGCCCCCCGCCCCGCTGCGCGGCCCTGGGGCCTGTGCCCGGGCTCCGGTGTCACTGTGGAGGTGGATGCGGTGCGAGGTGCGGACCGGAGGTGACCCGAGGCTTCCCGGCAGAAGGTGGGTCGCCACACCGTGTGTGCGGGGAGGCCGCACGGACTCACCCTTTCCCTCGGGTCTCCGGTGGTTCCTGCCCTCTGCTCCAGGCCTGTCTCTCCCTCCCTGGCTCCGTGTCACTGATCTCATCTCATCTTCCTCTTCGCTCCGTTGGTGTGGCTGACAAACAGCATCACCGTCCGGGTGGGAGAGATGTTTTGCTGTTAAGAAAGATTATATGAAACTGTTTAAGCACAAAACATGTGCTGTTGTGATGCTTTCGAAGAAGGGCTGAATCTGTACACGAATCTGCATAAGTATTTTAGAAAGGGATTGTAGATCTATTTTTGCTTAAATCGTTTGACCTTTAGATACTTAAATTAACGTTTCCTTTTACCTTGTGTGCAGGTAGTGTTGCCTTAAGCAAAGTAAACATCACCCCCCTCCACCCCCCTTCTTTGATAGAAGTCTCAAGTAAAGGCTAATAATGGTCCTTTTCTCTAGTCTGATACTGGAGGCTGTGGAGCAAGAGCATTGGGCCTCTAGGAAGAAAGATCATTAGGACAGTGTAACTGTAACAAACACATATGCTGCAAAATCCATCACGTGAGAAATCAAGGTTGGGGAAAAAACTGTGAAACAATAGGTGGTAGGTAGCTTTTGGCACAACCTCTTGGAAATCTACCATTCTTCCTTTTTTTCTTTCTCTGCCTTTTTTTGTGTTTTTTTTTTTTCTGTTTGTTTGTTTTATTTTGTGAGGTGTTTTGTTTTTTTTTCAAATTTGTAGTGGCCCTTTTCCCCCTGCCACTTCCAAATAGCATTCAAAAGGCTATTCTTTGGAAAACAATATTTGTGTAGGCTTTTGGCAACCCTACTGACAGCCTTTTTATTGCTCAAATGATGTCAATCAACATCGTTTTGGAAAATGATCATCAATATTTTGGTGGTGGACCTGTTCTAAAAGGAAACGTTTATTCACAGAGGATAAAGGCCTGCTACCATCTTCAGGTTCTTCTTAAAGCAACAAAAGCTGTTTCTAGTGAAGTTGTCGAGGGTGCATGCATTCCTCTTAAACACTTATCTGCTTAAACGAATGGGTGCAGCACTCACTGATGATCATAAAATTTATGATCAGGAAAAAAATTGTAGCTGAAGAAATTCTCTTTGATGCACGGTCCAATATATGATTTCTCTGGAAATTCAACCAAGTGCTGGATCTCTGCCAACGTGTGAAGCTTCGGGCATGGATGTAGACTCTGTGCCCTTTGCTCTGTTCGGTTGCCTGTTCCAAAATACGTGTTGTCAAGCGTGGCCCGAGCTCTGCGCCAGCCTGCGCTGGGTTCATCTACAGAGGCAGCGCAGAGAACCAGACTGTAGGAGAGGAGGGTCTGTGTTTACTTCCCTCAGGTGGAATTTCCCCTGGTGTACCAGGGGGTGGTGGGCTGCCGTGTTGTCTCAAGTACCAGGTGGCCTGCCTGTGGCGTTACGCGGCGTCATTATGGTGCCTTGGTTAATGTGTCAGAAATGCATGTGTGGTGCTAGGCGTTTGCCTATCAGATGGCATCAGTAGAGGCAGGTGCAGGGAGCCCGTGTTACGGATGGTTTGACTGTGGTGCGCAGCTCCCCGCAGGCTGTAGGCAACAAGAATGGGTGGTTTAAGCAGAAGGTAGGAGCTCGGAGATCTCCTGTGCCTGCTGTGGTTCCCTGGGTGGCCTTGGCGAGTTGCCGAATGGCTGTGTGGATCATGATTAGTGGCTACTAGTGGTGTGGTTGGTGGGCCTGCAGGCCTCATCTCTACTTTGGGTTTGAATCTACATGTCTTCTGTTCTTGTGCAGAAACTCTTTTGTGGAAAAAAAAATCATGAAAACTTAGCTTCATCAGTATAACTGGTAAACTGTGTAGCAAAGCTACGAGCAAGTGATAAAACATGAGATAAATAAAAGCAGCAAACTGGAAGCAGGATGTACTAGTTTGGGAAGGGAGGGGACTTCACTCTGGAAGTTGAAGAAGTAGCTCCCGAGGCCAAATGTGAGGCTGCGCTTGCGTGATGTGAAGACAGCCCAGTATACCAAGTCAGAAATCAGTTTATTGATTTCACTTTTTTTTTTTTTCATTCAAAGGGATGAAAAGGCAGGGAAACTTCCATAATGCACTTTTTCTATATCTCATACACCTCTGAAAGTACTGTAGTGTCTAGTTTCGGTGTCACCACAGTGAACTGAACAGGTGAAGGGCTATCTCCTTGAACACAATGCTCTGTGTCAGCCCACCGCGGGCGTTTGGAGCACCCGTGCATGGGGTGAACACTGTCAAGGTGGATGTAGCTGACTCCCTACCAGCACAGGTCAGACAGCAGTGCCTGCTCATTACCATTCCTAATCCCAAGGTTAGCACAGCCCTGAAGTAAAGTTCTGGAAGTAGTTGTAATGTGAATGGAATAGTCTAAAACACCAGTGCAAATTCAACTAAATGCTTGTGTTATTTCATTTTTTTACACTATACAGACTAGCTTAGTCCTTTTGGCACCACTTCCCTCAGTGCCTGTTCACAGCTTAGATAGCTGTTGTGTGTACCACATGATTCATAATGTGTCTGTGTTTCCAAGTCAAGAACATCAAGCTAACTAAAGGTATTCGGGTGCACACTTGTGTGCCTCCCAACTTACTGAGATGCTTGACGTCCTTCCTCAGTCCTTTTCTCAAGAAAAAGCATGTGGTAGATAAGGATTTCAAACTGGGACCTTGACAGGTAAAGATAAGCAGTCAGTAGCTCAAATGAGTGCAGGGAGCACTTTCTGTAATAGAGAAAGAAGAGGTGGGGAAATAAAGGGCTGTGGGAATTGCTTGCAAATAACGTGGGGAGGGTAGATGTGTTACCTGAGCTGACCCTGTTTCACATGTAGGAAGGCCGTTTCTTAGAAGGGCTGGGAGTTTCCCTGTAGTGGAAAGTAGATTGTGTTACTTTGGTTATTAGCAGAGTATGTTCTCTGGTGCCACAAGCTCTTGTATTTTTTAAAAATTTTTTTGGTATGTTCTGCCAAATAAGTACTTCAGTGTTTTTCTGTTTTAACCAACGCTTTGGTATATAGCTTGCTTTCAGTTCTGTCCTAGCAGGTTTACTCACTTCTCAAGTTGAGTACAAAACTGAAATGGAAAAAACCTGTAACTTTAACCCATACCTAAAGGAGCAAAAAATGTCTTGCCATGTGGTGAACATCCAATGTTGCTCCAAGCATCCTTGGAAAGGAACAACTCTGACAGTTTTTAGCTCTGTCCCTATGCTAATCCCTTGCGTGATTCTTAAATTGGTCCTCCCCCTTTCAACTGCAGCAAAGATGAGGAAGGTCCAGGCTTAACTGAGACCTACTGTGTAGTTAGATTGTAGATGTATTTTCTTTATACCTTGGCTCTTACCTCGGAAGAGCTAACTGCAGTGAAACACTGCATGGCATGGAAACTGCCTCCAAACTGGTTCTGGTGAGTGTCAGGGTGGGGCGGGAGCAGGCATTGCTAAGATCTGCCTGCTGTTGAAGAAAAATTATCATCGTTGTTCCTTGACTGGACTTTGTTTGTGATAGAGACACTCTTGACCCTATGTGCAAAGATCACTTTGACCTCTTCCTTAGGAACGTCTTCTGTTCAGCACCTCCAGAAGATACAACAGCGGATCAGAAAGCCTGACTCCAGCTGTGCTGTGTCACAAATAAGTCTACGATTCCACAGATCAGTCTTTCATATTGGCCGAATGATATCTGTGGATTAAATATGTTTGAACTTGCCTTGCCATTATCTCGATTCGTTTGGCAATTTGTCTAGAAAAGGCTTATCTCTTACCACGCCATCTCTGAGCAGAAACAAATGCATTGAAAATGGGGGGAGGCATGAGAGGAGAGGAAGAGGGATTGTAATCGTCCAGACTTGCAGACTGGAAGTTGGGCATGTGGTATGCATACGGACGGCTGTGTGTTTGTAAATTGGAAGTAGTGGGAGTAGTGAATTTTTCAGGCCAAACTGCAACCTGTAGCCACATGTTTATGAGGCTTGTTCAGCTGAAAAGACTTCCTTTCCAGCAGGTCTTATGTAAGAGAAGAAAGCCTCTTACTTCATCTTACTTTGTGCATATATGCAACACGCTTGTTTCTCTTGAAGGTGTCTTCTTTTTGTAGGACTCTGGTTTTTTTCCTAAATTTGTTCACTTGTTTGTATAAGATAGGCTTCAACAGAGATTCTGATTAACTTGGAAGGAGGGAGAACCATATATTATTATTGAGTCTGTGGGCATAATCTTTTCTTTGTGACAGTGTGTCTCTGTATATGATTATAATTTGCACACCATAATGGAATTTAGCTCATCTCCTACCATTGATATTGTATAAATGTTGACACAAAAGGTCAGGAACAGTGTTTTAACTTACTTCAAGTTTC